CCGTGTAGGAGATTAAGTTTTGAATGAGTAATTTCTCCTTTCCGTTCCAGGTACCCTTGTTACATGCCAGTTTACGAAGAATTTTTTTATGTTTATCCAAATGTTTTTTCTCTTCGGAAGTAAGTGGTACCCCACCGTGTAGGAGATTAAGAGCGCATTCACAGATAACACGAACCAACTTTGAATCTGCTACTTTGAGTACAGCACGCCGATGTTCCGGTGCTAATTTACATAGAGCCTGCAGTGTGTGGATGTGATCGTTTGGATCGTTTGGAAATAAACACGTTCGCACTCGACAATTTTCAGGTGTGGCCTGTTTGAGATCCAGAAGTAAATAGCTGTGAGGTATCAGTGTCGCGTCGTAATAAGCATGCTGAAGAAATCTGGGATTGGTTGGATACATTCAGGTGTGGCCTGTTTGAGATCCAGAAGTAAATAGCTGTGAGGTATCAGTGTCGCGTCGTAATAAGCATGCTGAAGAAATCTGGGATTGGTTGGATACATCTGACGTGCAAGATGTTGAATCTGTGCTCGGTCTCGTGGGTTTTTAAAAAGGACAATATAGTTAGCGTTTAAAGATATATCACGCTGACCTCGTCCCTGGTGAAAAATATTTTGATTAATGAAGTATACACTTAAGTTTTTATGATGACAACCTTTTGTAAAAATATCAACTATCTGCTCATCAGATTCCCGCATCATGTCGTCTATAATTATTAGTATGGGTTGTTCTCCGGTAAAGTCTAAGCAGGAAGGTAACCCTTCCTGAAACTCAACACTCTCCAACTCCTAAGAACGATAGAGAGGCTGTGATTCGGAATAATATCAGACAATTCTAGAAAATTTAACATCGCTCATATCCTCGATGTAATTTATAAAGTTTTTAACGAAATAGCTTTTTCCGCATGAACTAGGTCCTGCCACAATGGCCGACCACGGGTGAACTCAGCGGGGATCCATAACTTAACACAATCATACGTACTAGAAAACTATAAAGTTTTTCAAAGTGTCGAGATTAAATACTAAGAAAGTATTTTTAAGATTTCGTATTGCTACCAGTTTCTATTATTATGTAGGGATGGTGGATAGAGAGTGGGGATGATGCTCTAGCCCTATAAGAAGCGTCGTTTCCCAGGATCTTCAATCAGTAACAAACATTTTTAGTTACATCTCAGATATCCTTGTTAAAATGGTCAACTCTCAAAGTTCTGACTGGGATTGTCCAGCTACTCACGCCGCTTTATACCATGAAGAGAAGTGCGATGGCGTTGAACATTGGATATTGTGTGCGAACCCTCAAATGTACGAGCAATCTCAACGTTTGGAAAAAGTCTGTACGAAAATGTCTCCAGTCTATTGTGCTGGGGGTGTAAAACGGCCTGAAGGTATAGATAGACCTGATCGTCTGGCCTTAAAAGAATCACTACCTGCGGAAACATCTGACGTGGAAAATGGGAAGAGGAAAAATAAGGAAAACGAAGGCGATTGTAAACGAAAAAAGGTAGCACTTAATGAAGGAGAAAACAGGATGCCGCTTAAAAGATCTGTGGGTGTGAATGCCCCGCCTTCTACATCTACATTGCCACATGTTCCAAAACCATCACCATTGCTGATGATGCAAACTGTATACAACTTAAACAATCAGAAGCGTATCGTCGTGGGGCTAGACATTCACAATGGATATCAACCGACTTTACAACTCCTTGGTTGTAGAGGGGATGTCGTTACGCTTCTGCCATTGGACTAGCGACTTCTTCTCGAACACTCTGAGAAATTCATAGCCCATTTTATAGATATTGTTACAAAAAATAATTAATGGTCTACGATACCCCTCGCAAATTGTAATATTATATTATGTGAATTATACGGTGACCGCGCAATAAAAATAACATCGGGGAAAAATAGTATTGATTTTAAGAGGCAGTGTTTTGAAAAACTTTTGAAATTAGAATCATGTATATGTTCCTATCTAATGCTCGCTGATGATCATTATACTACTAAGATACGTACTCGTAATAGTTTTTTGAATGAGATTACAGGGGCTTTTGAAAGCGGTAAAATTTCGAATATCACGCCTAGCACTGTAGCAGATCTTCTTCGTTCGCATTGCATATTTAATCATCTCTCCATAGAATTAGTAGCATTAGCGATACACGACTTAGTAAATAGTTTACTCGAGCGTTTAGATTGTAGTTTTACCTGGGATGATTGTATGCCTTAAATTAAAGCATAGAAAAATTGTATGAAGAGTAAATAAAAACAGATTGTATAACATAAATTATTGACTTTATTCCATTATCCTTATTCTTCAAAGTATTTAACTCCCCAGTCTTCAAAAGGGCCTGTTGCAGAATGTATTTTCATTGCGAATAAGAAATGCAAATCAAAAATATCAAATGCCCAGGGAGCCTTTATACATCCCTCGTACCACAACCAGGCCATCCTTTCCCTTTTTTCGATTCTTCGCATAAGCACATCACGCACCGTTTTCCAATATTCTTTTCCTGTCTCGAGAGGGCCATGTTTATTGCATCTTGCGGTTCTC